GCCATTGCTTGGTACATTAATTCCCCAGGCCCAGAGGGCTGTGTTACCACTAGCAGCGATCTGCATGAGGCGCTAAATGATGTGGGGGATCCCCCAGTGAGAGAACAGAGGCTCTCTGAATCTTCCCTCCATCTCAGCATTGTCGGTTTGGCTCTCACCCTGGGCTCGCCCAGTTCTCAGCACAAATCGTATTCAGAAAGGAAGCCGAGGCCTCATCAGGCACGCATAGCCGAGAGGGAAGTCACCTGACGCCTCAGACACTAGCCGTCGTGTAGCATTGTTGCGCTTCGTTACTTCAGGGCATTGCGGTGCGATGCGTCTGCGCTCGCATCCATGTAGCGCTCCTTTCCACAATGTCAGCTTCAGGCATTAGTAAAAGTTGCAAGGACAGTCCTCACAGCAGCATTCAGGTTTAACACGATTAAATGCGTGCCTTCATGTTAACAGAAAAGGCAAACCCAAGACTGCATAAGCTCACGTCTCTTTCCTGCGTCTCGAGTTGGTCAGTTCAGACATGGTTGCTGCTAACAAGATCCTGAAGAGGCAAAGGCTGGTGTAAGACATCCAGTCTGAGAGTCTCACTCTGTCATGGGCGAAAGAATTAAAATTGTGTGCGTATGTATTAAACCAACGCTCTTTCTGCACACACGAAATTAGAACGGGGGTGCAGAGTTTTTCCTCAATAACATCTATTAGAAATGAATATTGCTCCAAGCAGCAATGAGCACACAGCAGTAACTTTATTATCCGTCTCAGGATCGGTCGGCGCGGTGCACGATCGAGAGGGCTTTGATCGAGTTCGGGTAGCACAGAACGCGAGTGCTACGGCTCATTCTGTCGGCGTCGGGCGTATGTCTGAATAGAGCCAGAAAAAAAAGCAATACCAAAGTGACCACGTCTGGAAAAATAGATTAAAAAATACAGATGAATCCAATGTTTTGTAGCCCATGTCAGAGAAATGCTCGAGTCTCACAGCAGTTTAATCTACACCTTCTCTTACAGTCCTCTTCAGTTTGCAGATACGCTCTCTTCAAATGAAATTCCATCACATTTTCTTGCAGCGAGATGATCATAGCTCTCAGAATGAGCCCCGTGTCTGCAGGTGGTGGCATACATAAACACTACGTAGACGTAGCTGTTTTACATGACTGCTTGATTGAATTCAGCACGGTGCGACTGTACAGACGCAGGTGGTACGAGTAGGAGACACCAAAGTGGTAACACTCGCACTGGTAGTGTTGGTGGGAGCGAATGTATTTCCCCACCGGGGGTACCAGACGCCGCCGTTTCCCTTCCAACACCTCAGCGCTCTGTTGGCCGGCTCTCCGCTTCTTTCTTTCTCTATACATTATAACTCCTTAGACAGAGGTGAGGTTGCTATTGGTATGCACAGACAACACCGGCAGATTCACCACCCAGAATACCACTGGGAGATTATACCCTTCCTGCTCCACGCAGCAGGGATTCGGCTACCGTAAATAGAGCGCTTGGGAGTGTGCTGTGTGCCCAGAATGACAGAGCACTGCAGTGGCTGAATACTCCAGCCAGACGGCGAGCACAAACTCAAGGACTGCCGCAAATACAGTAATCTCTCATGCTTTTGGTTGTGGTTTTTACCTTTTTCTACAGGGACTCAGAAATCGTCGCGCTGGAGATCCATCTGGCTGATTGTCAGCGTGCACTGGGCAGCCGTTGGGGCATGCAGGACACAAGCTACAGACAAAATCTGTTGGACTTTAGAAAAGAAAGCAGGAGGCCAGAGTGGAAAAAAATAAAAAAGCTGCTCACAGGAACCGTGCATCAGTCAAGACAAGAATTCGGGCCTACTTATAGTTTTCAAAGGAGAAAATTGGGCCATTTATTTGCTTTTTGCTCAAAGATTAAATGAGTTTATTAATAAATAATTCATTGTATGGTTGTATCAAATCTTCCGAGGCACGAGGCGTAAGTCGTAGCAGTGCGTTAGCATGCCGATCGTATCATGAATAAAAAGCAGGAGTTCGTCTAAAGGCTTATGCAGAATCAGAGACAAAACCTGAATGACAGTGAGAGAGGTAATTTGAACGAGTGTAATGACTTGCTGTTGCCATGGTGTGCAATGACACACAGTGGAAACACAGACGCAGCACAGTGAAATTCAAGAGGAGAAGCGCTTCGGCACGTTTTAGCAACAAGCTACCGATTACGTTACGAAGGGATAATTAACGCGAGCGTGCACCAAACCTTTTGTTTTTTAAGGAGACGTTAATACAAGTTTAATTAAAACATTTCATGGTCATTTTTTAGTTTTCATCGTCAAGTATTAGCAGCTTCTCTTTTTCTCCTCCACATCCCAATTTCCATTTGTCTTACGTTTGACCCATTAAAACTGCATCTGTGCATTTGACTTAATATGGGCACGGAGGGCTGTCTTAATTAATAAGCAGGCATCCACCAAACTAATCTGCCTGTGTTGTGAAGTCTGTCCTTTCCATTAAGTGGGACTCACATTATCTCCTAATCAAATTAGTCACTTAATTGTGGCCCTCCCTTGATGGATCCCATGAAAAAAGGAGTGCCGTGTTTGCTGCAGGGGGATGTGTGAAGATGGAACACGGCTGTTTCATTACGATATGAATTTTTTAATAACCAAAGCGTTCACTGTCATCTTCTTGCTTTGAACCTTGGCAAAGGGTGAAGTTGAATTTGACATTTTATCCACTCACACAGTTGAGTGTCTGGCTGCTTTGTTGGGGCTAAGTACCATAGCCCAGGGCCACTACCCAATTGCCCAACAGGGGATTGACCCCTGTCATCCACTGATCACTAGTCTGCTTTCTTAATCACTCCCCCGCATTGTCTACTGCAATACTTGATCTCAGTCGATGCATTAACTCCTTCATCCCTCTTAGAGCTGCTATTCCCCAAGTCGTGATTAAGGAGTGAAATCTGATGTTACCAAAGATTTCACTCCATCCGTCCATCCTTGGACAGATTGGCTCCTGAGGGGAGGGTCTCTAATTTTAAGGAGCCAAGTCCGCCCCCGCGGCGTTACAGCGCGGGCGCGGTGGCCGGGGGAAACCCCGGGTCCTGATGAATGGAGGTATGTGTGGTCGTTTGTCCCGCTGATTGAGTTTTATCCCCTGCCCTTTCACAGCAGCCAGACAATAAAGAGAGCCACATCCAAGCGTGACAGGTTAACCTAACAGTAATAGAATACTCTTAATAGTCTAGCCTCAGCCAAAGTCCACGGCAGAGACGTCCAAATAGCCAAGCTTCCTTTGTGGCGGGAGTGGAGGTGTGAGGGGGGACCGGCTCTCACTGTTGTTGTGTGATGGAAGCAAGGACAAAGAGGGCAGCTTGATGGCTTAATGTGCGGTTTGATCGCTTCGTTGGGTGAAATTGAAGTTAGCGAGGGCGACCGAACACAAGGGAGGGGGTGTATTTTCAAAATGGAAATTAGTCGTATACGAGCGTGACATCGACGCGCTGTATCGCTTAAATATTTTATGGGAATCCTTGAGCCTTTGCATTGGTACAGATGCCGCGACACGGTGGTGGCGTCTGCACAGAAAAGCACAATCAAAGTGAGCAAACTGTCAAAGGAGATTTGGATGATGTTGTCATGACGTTGACATGAACGTGTCTGTTTTCTGGCAGATAATCTTCACAAAGAGAATCCTCCGGGCTACATGCATCCGCGCAGGCAGAGCCTCTGACTGTGTTTGTTTCTGTTGCACCTCCGCTCGCAGTTTGTCATGTCTGACTCGGGCTTTAATTAGGCCTGCGAATTGAAGCGGCGGCAGCAGCAGGGCTGGGAGCCCTCTGTCCACAGCTCAGCCGTCCTCCACGGTGTCTCCTCGGAGGACCTCTCTGCTCTGTGTGGTTAAGATAATAGAGGCTCGCTCGGAAGATGTTAATTGAGGGGAGATAAAGTGCAGTAGTGGCTGCGGGGATGCACGGAGCGGGGGTGGAGGGGAAGGAGGGAGAGCTACCTGATTAGAGGCTGAGGTGTTTGACTTACAGCTCTTCTTTTGATGATGATATATGTAGCACCAGATTTTTCAAGGAGAAAGACAGAAACGCACGAGGAGGAGCCTAAGAGATAGTTATTAAAGTTTTCCCTGGGGCGTTTCTGTTCTTTGCTGTGCCGTTACTAAGTTACGCTCTCGGGTTTGTGGAGTGAAGAGTCAGGTTTCGAGGAGCTTTTTGGGGGCTCAGAAGGATCTGGCAGCCGTGCAGACGGGCAGGGAGAGAGGCAACTCTACCTGGGCCTCGGAGGTTGAAGCAGAGATGGAGGTGATCTGACCGAAACAGCTGAAGTGACAGAAGCTACATTAATAGTGGCATATGTCTGGAGCAGAGAGAAACTAAAAGGGAGAGAAAACAGACTCTCCACCAGCCCGGGAGAGGATGAAGGGAACGAGAAAGAGGAGGGGAGGACGAAAAAAGCAGAAAACAGTGCCAGCAGCCTCTATAATTGCCTCAATGCCGCTGGGATTGCTTTCATTCAATTGAAGCATTCTCTTTCTCTGTACATTGGAGGTGGAGATGGAGGAGGAGATGGAGGGGAGGAGGGGTCGGGCCAGGTGGCGTGGGCGGGCGGGAGATCCGACGGTGCCCTCCCTCTTCCAGCAACATACAGTGATGAGGGCGATAGCTCCCCTGTAGCGGCCGAATCTCTGGCATCAGTGTGAGCAACAGAGAGAGCGAGCGAGCGAGTGAGATTTAGTGTTTGTGAGAGAGAGAGAGAGAGCAGAGTACTGTGGAAGAGTGAGGCAGCGATAAGGAGGTAGGTGGACCACAGATCAGACCTGTCAGATGTGATTGTGCGGCCAAGTGCAACCCCGCATGTGAGCGTGTGTGTGTGTTTTTATATTTCCCAAAGACAACCAGCTTCCCCGCCCCCTTTCATCACAACACACACAAACACAGCATCGCTGCCCAAACACACGCACATTGCTCGAGGAATCCTTTTATTTCTTTATTTGGGCTCCTGTTGGTGCGTGCCTTAGATGCTCAGCTCCCTCCTCCTCTCTCTTCTTCTCCTCCTCCTCCTTGTCCTGTTCTTCTCTCCTCCTCCTCCTCCTCCTCTCCCCTCTCGCTTTGCCGCTCTCTCACAGCCTCGGTTTTCTTTTTTTTTTCTCCTCTTCAATCTTGTGCAGGTTGTATCTGACGGAGGGACCGGTGCCGCGCTCCCATCCCCGCGCTCCTTCAGCAACAACACTGTGAGTATTCTCATGCTAATTTGGCTTCTCCAGCCTCCCCAACATCGGTTTTGTCTATTTCGCTTTCTTTTTATTCTTTGCCTCTTTTATGTTTTCATCCGTCGCGCCAAACACAGCGGCGGCGGCAGCAGGAGAAGCAGCGCGGGAAGGGAGAGAAAGAGGAATGAGAGAGGACATGCACAGAAATACAGAGAGAGGAGAAGAGAGGGGAAGGCAGAGAGGGAGGGGGGGGGAAAGAGTCGAGGAGGGAAAGGGATTTCTGCCGCCGCCGCTGCGAGCAAGCCGCTCTGCTTTCGGAGGTGTTTCTCCTGGAGGATGGTGGAATTGCCGAAGGGATGTAGGGGGCGGGTCTTGGTTTTGTGAGTAGATAGTTGTGCGAGAATGATAGGGGATGTTGTTGACAAGCATAGAGTGGCTCATCAGACAGCCGGGCAGCTGGAACCAAGGTTTTCTCTGTTGACTAAACTTCTGATTCATCCGTCACTTTCCATATTTACACGCGCACACAGATAGATGCGCTTCTCTTTCTTCTTTCTTTTTTTTAACCGACGTTGCTCTTGTTGTGGAGCGAGGACTTTTACGCCGCCGTCATTTTTCTGGTGACGCCGTGCAGATGGGGGATGAATTGTAGATGGATGTTGCTCCTGGTCCAAGATGTGCTAAGCATATGTGTGTGCCATTCATAGCCTCAAAAGCACTTAGCGTAGTTTTAATGACTACAGTAGCAGATGCACGAGTAGGATTTTTTTTTTTTAATTCAGTGTTTGTGCCCACGTACCATTAGTTGTGACAGGGTTTTGGTTTTTTAAAGAGGAAAACGCGTTACTACAGAGCTGTGCATGCCTAGAGTGCAGTGATTGTGCCTACTGTACACAATAAAGGATAGTCAGTGTGTGTGTGGGTGCAGGGAGGGGGGGTCAGGAAGTCAGCGTCCATCCGTACATGCTGCTCTGTGATCAGAGGGCCACGTTTAGTCTGCCCACGACATGTGTCTGAGCCATATGAAGAGTGGGTGGGTGTGTGTGTGTGTGTGTGTGTGATGGAGCCAAGACGGGCCCTGTGCCCTCACTGCAACACCATAGCTAATGGGCACATGGGTCAGCAGGGTTGGACGCTCCTCCGCTTGTGCAGATATGTCACCAATACTAAAAAGTCTCCGAGGCCTTCACCGCAAGTCACGAAAACACCAATCTTTGCGAGGCAAAAAAAATGCCCATATTGGGCCAACAAAACGCTCACAACACACTTTGGCAGATTCATTTGGCAGAGTGAAAGGGATTGATCTGAGCGTGGCAATTAGGCAAATTTCAGAACTAAGCATCTGGCGAGGCGAGAACGCTTTGCCTGGCAGAGGATTACCATTTTAGTTCCATTTTCAGACAACGCAGCCCAGAATGTGTTATTTCACAGCACTCCAGCAGCACAGCGGCTCGGGCGAAACCCAGCGAGCACATGAAGGATCTCTGTGCAACATTTCTGCTCTGTATGTTGATTCCCACAACCTGCAAAGTCAAAGCGGCGCGCTGATTAATCGCGATTAGGTTTAATATGCGTGTTCGAAAGCGGTGGCGGCCCGGCCTCCCTTTCCTCTGCCTTTATGAAAATGAATCGTCGGAGTAAAATGCCTGAAATGATAGCAGCCTGCCGATGAGCTTGCTTTCTAAAGTAGGCTGATATAAATGAGAACCATTCCCCCAATTACGGAAGATTAGGTTACCCTCCACCAATCTGAATCCTTAAATCCCTTCTGTTTTTACAGCTCTGTCTGGCGAATGTAATTCAGCCTCGAGACCTGGGCAGAATAGCAATAAAAGAAGGTAGAAACTTTAGCAGTGAAACCCAGGCAGTAAAAATATCCATTGGGAGAGAGCTAAAGCACATGATAATTGACACTGCGCTGTGTTGCAGTTGGCTGTAATTAACTGTGTAACAGAGGTTGTCAGTCGGAAAGAGAGAAAGCCCCGACTATCTTAGTGCATTTAACACACTTGAAAGTGCAACGTTTATCGTGTCTTTCCAGCTTTCACCGAGGGTGCGTTTCAGGTTAGCGGGGGCCTCTCGCCTGTATTTATCCAGATCTTTTACTATAGGCCCAGTCAGACATTACGCGCCGCTTCCTTTATCCTTTGTTCGACAGTTTCAGTGCATGAAAAATCAAAAGGAGCCATTGTTTCTGGGGCGAGCGCAAAAAAGCTTATCATCTATTTTTAGTGCGCTTTTCCTCATTGTTGCCTGGGCCACGATTCGTGCTTACGTCTAGCAGGAGTGTGCCATAAACTATGTTGTGCTTCACAGCCAGGCGCTGGCTGTGGTGACAACTCTCACCCACACGCTAGTGATCTATGAGCCATATAGCACCGACCCCCTGCCGCCTCGCCAGCCGCTTTCGAACGCGCGCGACCGCAGCAGTGTCGTTCTGCCTGTGTGATAGCACCCATATGCGCACAGAGCACCTGTATTAACGTAATGCGCTAAGCCTTTATTTCTCATCACTTATCACAAGCCGCTACACGCTGTACCGAAAAGGAGGGGAAAAAGCTCATAAAGATAAAAATCACATTTCACTAGAGGGTGCTTGTGTGACAGTGATATATGCTGTGAGCATCCTGCCACCTCATTGAGATGGGAGTGAGTTCTGGGTGGGTAAATCAATTTGTGCAAAGGCTGTTGGCGCTAGTATTGGTTTCGTGATATGATCTTTGTTGTCCATTTTTAGAGGTCAGCGAGAGCGCCACGACAAGGGCGAAAGAACCTGACCGCGTTCTCTTGTTTCTGGGCTGGTAAATGATCTACACCAAGAGGATTGTGGGTAATCAAAAAAGTATACACATGTTTTTCCAGGTTTAGGCGCTATGGATTCTCTATTAAGAATGCACGCTCATCCATTATCGCGCGTGTCTTGATAGAGTATCCACAGCCAGAGGCGAGCTCTGTCTGCGCATTAATCGGCGTAATTACTCAGCGAGGGTGACGGTGATTATGGAGGTGCGTCTGAGTGCAGATACCAGTGGGAAACTGGGGAGGGGTGGACCTGGTGGTAGACCAGTCAATAGGTGAGCGCGACTCTCATCTCTGGGATCTCTGGTCAGGAAGAAACGACAGGAAGCCATTCCCTGGTGTCCACCTCGTGGCGTATCACGTAGTGTGTTATACAGTAAAAGACTTTATCCTATACCGCCGAGAACTACTTTGAGCTTTCGCCGTCAGTTCAGAACATCCCTCGTTCTCCCTCTTGAAATCATTTTTAACTCTACTCCAAAGTCGAGTACCCAGCGGACCAAAACAAATCAAAATGCATGTTTGAAAAAGAAAAAAATAAGAGCCAGAAGTAAAAAAAAAAATGCTAAAAACTATGATTCATACTGACTCAATCTAGTAATATCTAGAGTATGTGTGAGAGTAAAAAAAGCTCTTTGAGCTTTGGCTGGGAACAGCATTTCCACTTTAAGAGTTTTAATCCTTTTGTTAGTAAGATACTGATCTCGTGACTAAATGGAGAGCTCAGTTAATGCTTCAGTCACACGAGAGTAAAAATAGGACGGCAACCTTCTTGTGACCAGGGGAAAAAATGGTTGCACGTGATGGTTTAGCAACAGCCTCAACCTTGGCAACGGTTATTGATCGACTCCAAACAACTCGCAGCAGTCACTCTGATTGGTGAAGGTTTCCAAACCATTAGCATCTAATTTATAAATGCAGACAGACTGCCGACATGTTGCAGTCGATCTGCGACACGTGCAACAGGGGACTCGACTCAACTGGTTATGTTCCTATATGAAAGCATGCAGAAACTACCATTTGTCACAATTTGTGAAGGAAATCCGCTTTCCTATCTCTAAAATTATAATTATAACTTATAATTTATGTCATATTATCATTGATTGCATGCAATTGCCAACTTGAGTCCGGCTTATTGATCTTTTATTGATTTCTTAATGAACCAAAGTCGCACTGAAAACATCGACCGACGAGTGCTCGCAGACCTGCTCGCAACTAGTTCAGTGGCAGTGAAATGTCTGGTTCATTGCCGTCACAGTACCTTTGGTCATCCTGCAGTCTGTTGTTTTCCTGGTGGGACTTTAGCATTTGGTGGGACGCTCGACAAAATTACAATCACAACGTTTCAATGTGCAGGACACAACCATGGGTTCCTGCACATCTTTAAAGAGAAATGCATGTCAATGATCACATTTAAGGTCATTAAATGTTTTATTTTCACCCTTGAAGTCTTCTATTTTGAGATGATCACATTCTATATTTGCAGCTATCTTATATTGATGCCTTTTTTAAAATTATGTGCTCAAAAGCTTCATCTCACATTCACTGAAGGTATCACAGGTATCACAAGCTTTCAAATACAAGTTTGGAGATATTTGGCTCCGAGATGAAAAATACCAAGAATATCCTGAAAGTCGAAGGAGCAATTTTGAGGCAAAAAAAAAAAAGTTTGAAACTTGGGACAATGAGTTCCTGAACAATCAAGTCCCGTATGAAACCAGAAGAGCACACTATGCTTGTATTAAAAAAAGATAAGGTGCCAATGGATTCTTTCATGCCTGCTGCTAGTACACCGTCATCTCCTGCTGGTACGCTGACTGGTAAAATTGGACGTATTGATGAGTTCTGTTAAACTGAATTTTTCAGTAATTCTTTTCAGCGACTGCTAAACTGCTCCGTGGGTTGTTGTTTTTTTTGTTTTTTTGCACACAATCTGTATTTTTAAGATGTTTTCTGACTCTGAACTTTTAGATACATTCAAAAAGATAAAGCATTTGTTGATTTGGTAATGTTGCTGTGTGGAAATGCTTTTCACTTCTCTTTGTTTAGGCTTTTAAAAGGTTTTAAATTTGACTTTAAAAAAGAAAGTGTGCGGCAATCTCATTCCACCAATAATACTGAAGCTTATTAGACCGTCTGTGGTTTGAATATTGAATTATAACTGAGCCTCAAGAGCAAGGATGTTACCACTTTGGTCACCAGCTGTCATATGATAGGGGGAA